AGATAATGCCTATTAAGCGCCTGGCATACAACAGATGTTCAATAAATGTTTGCTGATCTGAGAGGCCAAAGGCAAACCCTGCTGGTCTGGTAAGCTCCACCCTGGTGTGTGATGGGGACAGCGACCTTGGTGAGCCCTGCCCCTCTCACCAGGTGCTTGTCCCTGGTGCCCATGTCTCACTGCCCAGCTTCCATGTCTTGGGCTTGTGTGCCCTGGCCCTCCCATCCTGCCCCTTGGGTCCTAACCCCTCCTCACAGTGCCATTGCTCCGGGACAGTGCAGGGTTGATGTCCTGCCAGCGGGTAATGGGAGGCAGGCCCAGTGCTGCCCTGGCCTTGGTGTAAGAGGGCAGGCCCAGATCCCGGCCCCGCTGCAGGCAGCTGACCAGGTAGTCTGTGCGGGAAACCTTCAGTGGCCCGGGCCAGAAATCTGTGGATGAGATACCAGAGGGTCTGAGAGAGCTCAAGGCCACCACAGAGGCCTCCCGTCCAGGCCCGAGGCTCCAACCAGCCCCAGGGAGACCAGAGCCATGGTCAGTGGGTCAGAAACTCTCTCAGTGGCAAATGCAGGGCAGGCTCCCAGCCCTGGACATGTCCGTTGCCTGATCTGGGGCTCCAGCCAAATCTCCTGCCAGAGTTCAGGGGTCCACAGCCTGCAGAGACAGCCTCAGCCTTACCTCGAAGGTCCTCGACCACCACATGGTCCTCTCGCTCTGCGATCTGGGAAGCCATGCCCAGCAGCAGTGCGTCCACATCTTCAGCACTTTGTAGGTTTGGATGCTTTGGGGGTGGGGAGAGGGAGAGGGGTGTGGCTGATGGGGCCAGAGATGGGGCAGCCAGGCTCCCTTCATCTCATTGCCCATGTCCGTGAGCCCACCTAGGTCTGCCATCTGCCCCCAGACTGGGCGATCCTCCTCTGCAGATTGATTCCCTGCTCAAGGTGAGTGATGCGCCTATCCAAAGCCCATGATGCAGGGAGACAGGCTTTTACAAGCACAAAGG